CTCTTCCACCCTCCTGGTGGCTGACACATTTCCACCCCGAAGACTTCTTAGAAATGGCTCTGCCCAGAGGTGTGGGCGTCTGGCTGGACGCTGCTTCCTGCCAGCCACAGGGCAAGCCCACCCGTCTGAAAAGCAGCTTCCAGTCAGTGAGGAGTCACATCACCATGACTCAGTGGGCTGTGGCAGATGAGAATTTTACTCAAGGTTCAACATTAAATAAGGAGCTTTTAGGCAAGTCTGGAGGGCAAGCAGAGCCAACTTAGGATGAGAAACTCAAAAGCAAAAGGGGAAATCCAGGGCTGGGAAATTCCTAGAAAAGAAATCAAAACCTTGGCCTGGAGGAGAAAGTTGCTTGAATTCACAGGGCTACTAAGCGGGGATGGCCTCAGCTGCAGCTCATGGGCATGCCAACACTCAGGAACCCGGCCATCTGTCTGCGATCCCTGTGTGTCCTTCTGACCCCCTGTGCAGGCACCGGGCCCCCATTTATGAGGGACAGTGGCAGGCCCCTGACAGACAGGGCAGCCCAGGTGTGCATGGGGGGACTCAGCATCTAGTGAGTAACATTATTTGAATCTGTAGACCAGATTTCATTCCTAAGAAAGAAACAAGACAGGGAGGGAGTAAATAAAAAGTCTAGCAGGATGTGGATAGTCAGGGAGGCTGTGGGGGGGGGGGGGGGGGCGGGGGTGTATGGGAACTCTCTGCACTTTCTGCTCGGTTTTGCTGTGAATCTAAAACTGCTCTAAAAAGTAAAATCCACTTTTTAAAAAAGATTTTTATTTATTTATTTGAGAGATTGAGACAGACAGCACGAGCCAGGAGGAGAGGGAGAAGCAGGCTCCCCGCCGAGCAGGGAGCCCGATGTGAGGCCCCATCCCAGGACCCCGGGACCACGACCCAAGCAAAAGGCAGACACTTAACCGACTGAGCCACCCAGGCGCCCCTAAAATCCACTTTTAAAAATTGGCTGCGATTTCTTTTTTAAGTCTATTCTATGGCCACAGAACCCTGCCTAGCATCATGCAGAGGTTGATCCTCGCTCAAGAGGGAGACCGGGTCAGCAGGCCGACTAAGCCATTCTGACTATAGGAACCATAGGAAATGTAACTTTTCCTCTATCTCACACCTTTGGTGTATCCCTAACCCTCATGTTACAATTCCTCAACTGTGTACAATTGCTTTGCATTCTGCAGCTAGGAAGAAAGCGATAACAAATACTTCTGGGAGAGATAGACTCTAACCTATGAATAACTAAGAGATCTATTTTTGCAAAAAGTTTTTATATGCTAAGCCTCAGTTTCTTCACCTGTAAAATGAAGATAACAATATTACATGTCCTACAGAGATGTCCTACGGATCACTCTTCAGGAAATCTTCACCACTCACCCTATTTAAAAGAGCCACACTCCCCTCCTGGGCCCTCACCAATACTACCTAGCACCCTTCCTCCCTTGATTTTTCTACAAAGCATTTACCATCTTCTCCCTATCCAATATTTTACTTTTAAAATTCTCTTTATCTCCCTCGAGAATGTAAATTCCATGAGGGTAGGGATTTTTGTCTGTTTTATTCTGTATCCCCAGCACCGGGAGCATTTTCTAACATATTATAGTCCTCAGGAAATATTTATTGGATGAATGATTTCTGTAAAGTGCTCAGCAAAATGGTTATACATGCCAAGTGTGTAATACATGTTGGTTATGATTATTTGCATTATTCCATGCTGCAAGGTTCTAAGAGTAAAGAATGAAGAAGTTCCTGAGAGGAAAGAAAGGGATGCAGACAAGAGAGAATTAGTGAGGACCCAGGAACACAACAACGCGTGTGGCATGTTGCTGCTGTGGGTTGGGCCTACGGATGTGGGTGTGTGAGTCACTCCATGCCAGGCCCCCTAAATAACTTGCAGTGCCACCATATAAGGATGGTTCATCATGTCTCCATCAGAGAGCCCTTCAAACAATGGTATGTGCATGTTAGCCAACTGGTACACCTCTTTTTGATTCTTAGAGCAGAATCTGGTGTGGGCCAATTGTACTTTCCATAGTCATTCTAATCACAAGCATTAAAAACTTTCAGTATTTCATTTGATGCTTAAAAGGAAATATGAAGAATTGCCCAAAACCAGCTCTGGTTAGCCGTCCCACAATAGCACCACCAGGAGGGTGCCGGGCTATAAGAACCAAAGCAGAAGCTCCGAGGAGCATCAGAGCAAAAGGCTGGAAGTGCTACAGCAGACAGAACTGAGCTGTTACAGGCAGCAAGGAAAAAAATCATCCTAAGTAGATAGTAAGCTATCAGGGCATCCTGACAAGGCGTGTTCCTGCTATATGAGATCACAGGCCATATATAGCCCAAATCAATCAACAGTCTGCCTTCTATCTTGATAGGAAGTTGGTTCTTTCAAAATGTACTTGCATTACCTCACTTCCTACAGCACACACACACACACACGCACACACACATACACATACACACACATCCTTGTATTTCAAGCTCAGTTTTCTTATTGAAATGCTCTGCTGACCCTCAAAAGAGAAAGGAGGAATTCTTCAAAGTCGTGATGAAGGTGTCATTGTCTTGATGCTTTGAAAGGACTAGTGTGAAATTGTTTGTTTGGTTTCTTCATCTCAGCTCTTACTTTCCTCACATGGAGGTACACTCAAGCTCCACACAGGGATTCCAGGAGCTGAGCTAGTTGTGGGCAGTCTGTGAAGTCCAGGGGCTTTCTCAAGGGAGAAGAAGAGAAGTCTTGTGAGACCGCTATAGGCAAGTGATTCAAGGGACACAGTTACACATCCAGCACCTTTGTGTGAACTGTAAAAAGTTGCCTCCTCTAGGCCCATGGATTGGAAAAGTTTTCATTCCTCAAGGCTGAAGCATCCCTGAGCCTGGTGAGAGAAGCAGGGCTATATTTTAGCCACTCCCATCCCCTCCCCTTGTTTGGACCTCTCTGTGTGGGACGGAAACTGCCTAATTGTACTTGGTGACTGGCTATGTGAGAGGGGGTGTTGCAGGGCTAGACATACATGAAGAACAAAATACCTGACCCCTACTGTATACACCCCACAGATGAGACCTTTTTCCTTTGCAGCCAGAGTTTAGCCTGTTCTTGGATCTACTCTAGAAGATGTTGAACTCCTATTCTTTCTCATGCATGCTGCCCCCAAGCCACTAGCCAGCTCCTCTCGAGGCCTGTAATGGTATCATTACTCAAACTAGGTGGAACTAGGAAGAATGTCTTTCGTGGGTTTAAAGGTTGAACAAGTAACTTAAAAGTTCATTTGGAAAGGGACAATGTGGTGTTATGGAAAGGCCACAGGATATGGAATCAGCTGACCTGGAATGGTGGCTTGATAAAGGTTAACTTGGTGAGGCTGAACTACATTTCCCAGAATTCCCTTCCCTGCATGTTTCCCATTAGAGTGGCCACAAGAGATGTTCTTGGGTGAGATTTGAAGGGGAGCAGTGAAGCAATAACCATTTCATAGGTTGCACATGTTGTCACTCATCTGTGACTCACCTCACTGGTTCCCCCAAACAAGTGTCTTTTATTGCTGGTCCTGCCTTCCCAGAGCACTCCATTGCAAGAGCAATTGCGTGCTGACCTACTTCACCCACCCCATTCCAAACTTCCTAGTTAAAATTACACTTGCATTTTTCTCTGACAGCGAAATAAGCCAAGCCCGATCGTGTCAACTGACCTCCATCCCCTCCCAGGTGAAATAACAGCATTTTTTCAGGGTTTTTGAGAGATGGGACTTTTACACAAAGAAAGGATGTGAGTAGAGTTTGTAGACACCAGACCAGCTGGTGGAGGAGGTATTTTGGGGTATTTGCCTTCAAATCGCGACATGACTGACACCATATGCTCTATTTGGATTCACAATCAATGTGATTACTTATGACCTTACTAGCAGAGAATATAAATACCTCAAAGAAGGCCTCCACTGTTTAAATTCTTTTCCAGCCTTAGGGACTTGCTGGAATATGGGGTATTCAGACAAGGAGGCCTTTTACCACTCCCTCAGCTCTGTCTGCACCGTCTGCACCCAACGGCCATGAATACACCCTTCCTAAGGTCACTTTCTCCCTTTCATCCTGCTGTGTTATCACCCTGCCTTCCATCTATCTTGTCAAAAGTGAACAAAGGGTATGAGCTACCCTAGGACGGCTTGACACAGAAAAGATGTCCTATCAAAATCCCAGAATGTCACGATGAACTAGTTTAGAAATAGTATGATGCACTGCATTGGCTTTTCCAAAGTCAGTCTCGGGGGAAAAAATATTGAACCTTTGACTCATTCACTGACAATGTGGGAAATTAAATGGGGGAAGAAAAAAAAGAGAAAAAGGAAGGAAGCAATAAATGTCTTCCTTTTTGCCCATAGGTATCTGATTCAGGGCAGCTCAAGAATCTTGGACTATAGTCAGCCACAATCATGGAGGATTCCCCAAGTGAAGAGGCTAAACATTGGCAAAACAAAAAGCAGATTTGGTCCACTGCATTCCTACCCTAATGGATGCTGAAAAATAGATGCTCTATAACCACCCACAAATTTCCTGGTACTCCTGCTATCATTGCAAAATGCTGGCTCTTTCAAAGTCTCATCTCTTGCCCCTGCCAGAGAAAGCCAGCCTTTAAAAGAAACTAAATCCAAGGTCACTTATTTCCACATAAAGAGACTATTTCGTCAGCTGCCAAATTCATTTTTCTAATGTACTCTTACCCAATAACTTAAGCCTCGTGTGCTGGGCAGAGTCCAACTTGGGTAATTCCATTCTCCCAACCAAATTCTCCCAAGGAGTTTGAACTGGACATGACATTATTCTTCACTTCTTCAGCTATCCTATTATTAATCCAAATAATGCTTTTCATCCCCAAAGCATAATGGAGATATGAGGATAGAATTTCTTAGAATTTAGTGATGAGAGATTCCATTATATAAATTTAGTAAAGTTCTTTGGAAGTCAAGTCTAGATTCGTTTATTCAATGAATAGTTATTAAAGTATACGCCAAGTGCTGTTCTCAACACTGCAGATGTAGCAGGACACAGAGAAGGTTTTGCCCTCAAAAAGTAACTATTGGAGAGAGGGGCAGGAATCAGACTATTTAAGTCATGATACAGAGTTTGGATATTATTATAGGTGCAGTTGAAGAGTATTGGTGGAAGGATATGATCAGATTTGGGTTTTTTTTTTATAGGATCACCATGAAGAGGAGAATCCACTATACAGAATATGTATGGGCCAGAGTCCTAGCCTTCTGCTACTTTCCACTGGAATTGAATCATTCCAGGATCAACAAAACTGTGGCCATAATTTCCTCCCAACAATCCTTCAAACAGCATTGACTCTTGGTTAGCTCAAAGGGTCAAGGAGGCCAAAGCCATGGTTTGATCATGTGGCCATCAGTATTGCATTGTTCCATGACAAATCCTACCCCTCTTCTTTTCTAGCTGGCTGTACTTCATAGGCTCCCATTGGTCATATAGGACACCAGACAAGAAGGTAAATGAGGAAGAATTATCTCATCTCCACTGCTCCAAGAGCTGCCTATGATCTGCTGAAGGTGGTTCAGTGGCAAAATCAAAGAGCAAAAGTATCTCTACATATATGTGACTTAACTGAATGGTGGTGTTCTTGGAAGAGCGTTACTACTGACAAAGAGTCACTGAAAACTTTCTATGTATTGCCCTTCCTGTGAACAGTGACAAATATAAATAAGAAAGTCGCAGAATCTGAAAATAAGGGGCACCTGAGTGGTGCAGTCGGTTAAGCATCCAGCTCTTCATTTGGGCTCAAATCATGGTCTCAGGGTCATGAGGTCAAGCCCTGTGTCAGGCTCTGAGCTCAGGGGGAGTCTGCTTCTCTCCCTCTCCCTCTATGCCCCACTCTCTCGCTCTCTCTAATATAAGTAAATGAGTCTTTTAAAAAAAAAAGGAATCTGAAAATAAAGGGGGACATTAGTGGTCATGAAGTCCAACCTCCCACCTAATGTAAGATTTTTCTATGCAGTGCTGATAAGGAGTCTTTTGTGTTCTATACACCTCCTATGTCAGATGGGGGCCAAATGAATAGCAATTTAATTGCAAATTGTTCTGTTAGCTAGGAAAGATCACCGACTGTGGTACCTATTGCCCAAAGTTGTGGTCTGAAGGATCAAAGGACAGATAAAGTCACATCTTAAAGAGGGGCCAACATTAAGACCCGGAAAAAGAGGACCAAATAAGTTTGTCAATCGCAGAAGCAAGAAGGAGAATAAAGGATACTGAGCCATACAAGAAGATACCCAGGATGCTGATGGATGAGGAATATAGAGTAGGTGGATCGGAGGTAAGTAAGTCTGAAGAAATTCTTACGGGTGTGTACATGTTCTCATGATGGAATTTTTAATACAATTCTCACACCAATATGTATGATTGTACCAAGTACTTTTGGAGGGGCTGGAAGGGAATTTATATCCTGCTTCCCCTAAATGGTCACTGCCTCACATGGAAGTCCATTGCATCATTAGGAAGTACCAGTGTTCACAATATTCTCTGTATCCTCTTCCTTTTGGCCATAGGTCTGTTCTTGCATGACATACAGAGCAAATCTAATTCCTTTTCCTCATGACAATCCTTCAAATAATTAAAAACAGTTTTTATGTCCCCTTTCAGTATTTCCTGTTGTAGGCTCCACATCCCTAGATTCCTTTGGCCCTTCTCAGATAGCATAATTTCATAGCTGCCAAACTTTCAAATTGACAAGGACTTCAGAAACTCAAGTCCAGATCTCCTTCTTTACCCAGGAGGAAGATGAGGTTTAGGGGGTTGAAGTGTAGCTGGGTAGGGAGTGTGTTCTGCCCGGTGTCACCTAGAAGTGGCAGATCCAAAACTTAAACCTCTTAATTCCCAGTCCAGTGTTTTCCCCACATCTTTCAACAACCCTTCCTATCCCACTTACCTTCCTCTGGATTCATTCCAGATTCTTAGATTTCTTCTTCAAATGTAGCCCCTGATGTCAAACCCACTTGCAAGTGTGTTCCAACCAGCCAAGAGAATAAGGCAATTGTTATCTACTTTATAGTAAACTCTATACATCCATTAAGGCTGTTATGATTACTTTAGGTTTCTTTGGCAGACCTTGATGATTCATATTGCATATGTAGTTAATTAAAACCATTTGTACATTTCTCTTTAACTTGAAATGCATCAAGCAAGAAACTTTTCACCTCGTACTAGAATGGTTCATTTTTACTTTAACTTAGGTATAGGATTATATATTGAATCCTCCTAAATATCTCTTGGTTAGTTTAGATATATTCTTTTACCTGGTTGAAGTATTTTTGAATGCTAATTGTCCTATCAGGCATATTAACTAACCACCCACATTTTATGACATACATAGACTCAACAAGCACAATGTAGCAAAGACAGTTCTTGCCAAATATGCCATGTCCCCCCCTACTTTTCCCAGACTCTGTTGTAATTGGGTTGGAGCCATGTGACTACCTCTGGCCAATAGATTGTGAATGAAGGTGACGTCACTTCTGGGCCAAGTCATTAAAGAGCCAATGTGATTCTTCTCTTCTTCTATTCACCTGATATAGAGATCTTGCAGGCCACGTGGTCTGGATGCCATGACTTCAGAGGAGTTTACATGAGCCCATGGCAATCCATTAAAGACCTTTAACAGTATTCCATTAAAGACTCTACCTCCAGCTACCAATTCAATTTATTGCCCAAAGATATCATAAAAGACTGAATTAAATGCCTTGTTAAAATTCAAATATATGAAGTCCCAAGGAGCATGGTAATCCATTGTAGGATTTTAAGCATGGGTGTGATATACTCAGATTTGAATTTTAGAGATGCATGGGAGTGGGGCGTGATTGGAAGGAGCTAGGACTAGAAGGAAAGGCAGCTAAGAGGTTGACTTTTGAATGTCTAGAAGGGGAATGTGATGACTGGAGCCAATATGATCTTACTAAGAACAAAGTTTTGTCAGTTACTTCATTTCCACTCTTGCCAGTGTTGCTAGGCTGGCGTAGCAGAGAAATAACCAAGTCCACAGTCCTGAGCCTGGCTCTGGCCTGCGGCTCAGCTGGTCCTGCTCCATTCTCCTTCTCATTTCCAGCCATTTGTACACTTTTCCATTTACTTCGATGCCTTGAGGATTCCCTCTGATGCTGGGCTTTTGCATGAGTCCTTCCTTCTGTTTAGAATGCTTTCTTACCTGTCCCCTTGTCCACCCTAATTCCTCAAACTTCAAATTTCAAGTTTTTCAGGGAGGCTTCTGACCCCCGCTAAACTAAGTTAGATCTCTTTGTTTAGACCATTTGCCCCATACCCTTCCCTTTTCAGAACATTCAGTACCCCTGAAATCACTTCTTATAAGATCACCTACTCTCTCCTTGAGACTAAAGGTTCTTTGAGGGCAAAGGCTATCTGTTACCACCGAGAATTTAGACAGTGCTCAGTAGGTATTCAAATAATATTTGCTGAATGGGATTATCTAATAATTTGTTCTGGAAATGTGCCAGAAACCAATGCTAAACTAAATGGATTGTAAATTTTAAAATCTCCTCTTCTTATCCTTTGTCCTTCTCCAGATTCGAGGTATTTGCTCTTTCTTGCAGGACTCCTCAGGAATGACCAAGAGTGATTCTTTCAGGTTTCTGGGTTGTCATTGCTTTGGTGCAAAGATCTATGAACTACAGCCCAGCCCAAATCTGGCTGGCTGCCTGTTTCATAAATAAAGTTTCATTAGAGCAGAGGTACACCTGTTTGTTTCTAAATCACCAATGACTACTTTCACGCTACAAAAGCAGAGTCGAGTAGTTGCAACCAAAACCATGTGGCCCACAAAGTCTAAAATATCACCTTTACAGAAAAAATTTACCAACTGCTAGTCTAGTAAAAATATTTTAACTCATTGAAGACAGCTAGGTGATTTTTTTTCTGTCATCTCATCTATATTTGGCTTCTTTTCCTTTTTTCCCTAGCTTTGATCTGCCTTTACAATTTGAAATTTATTCTTTCTATTAAAGAATCCATAACAAAATAGACAGATGCCTACTGTCATCTGCTGATATACTTTCTGCTCCATATAGTGTCTCTTCCACATTTGTCTTTTTATGATAAAAATCATTTATTAAAAACAAAAATCAATATTTTTCTTTCTTTATTCAATTCACATTTTCTTTTCTTTTCCAGTTTTATTGAGGTGTATTTGTGGGGGGCGTTGTTTTTTTGTTTATTTATTTTTAAAGATTTTATTTACTTATTTGACAGAGAGAGATAGTGAGGGCAGGAACACAAGCAGGGGGAGTGGGAAAGGGAGAAGCAGGCTTCCCGCTGAGCAGGGAGCCCGATGCTGGGCTCTATCCCAGGACCCTGGGATCATAACCTGAGCCGAAGGCAGACACTCAATGACTGAGTCACCCAGGCACCCCTATTTGTGGGGTTTTTTAAGATTTTATTTACTGTGGCACCTGGGTGGCTGAGTTGGTTAAGTGTCTGACTGTTGATCTCAGCTCAGGTCATGATGTCAGAGTTGTGAGATCACCCACACGTTGGGCTCTGTGCTCAGTGCAGAATCTACTTGTCCCTCTCCCTCTGCTCCTCTCCCCCACTTATGTGCTCTCTCTAGTAAATATTTATTTATTTTTAGAGAGAGAGAGAGAGCGAATGTGCACGAACGGGGAGAGGGGCAATGGGAGGGGGAAAGAATCTCAAGCAGACTCCGCGCTGAGCCCAACACGGGGCTCGATCTCATGACCCCAAGATCACGACCTGAGACAAAACCAAGAGTCAGACGCTCAACTGACTGAGCCCCCCAGGTGCCCCTTATTGAAGTATATTTGACATATAACCTTGTATAATAAGTTTAAGGTATATAACACAACAATTTCATATATGTGTATACTACAAAATGATCACTTCAGTAAGCTTAGTTAACATCCATCACCTCTTCCACATTTCTTCTCCTTACTCTACACATGTATAACAAAGCTCATTTTATTGCCCTCAGAATTTTTATAAGATGCATTTCACTCTTAGCTTCCTTGTACAGGTTATTGTGTTTTTCTGTACTCCTTCCACCAACAGTTCTTCCATCACCAGGGACTCTTCACAGTAAGAACTCACCAAAGAACTCTTTGCAGGCACAATAATTCCTTCAGGATCATTTTCACTTGTGTTATCAGAATTTTATTTTTGAGAGTTACTTATGTCTCATGGTGGATCTTTCAATTATACCTGTGAATTTTTCTTTTTCTTTTCCAGAAATTTCCAAATGTTGTATTTTTTAAAAAGACCTGTTTATTTATTTTAGAGAGAAAACATGTGTGCACGTGTGTGCATGTGGGTGGGGGGAGGGGCAGAGGAAGCCGAAGAGAGAGAATTCAAACAGATTCCCCACTGAGCATGGAGCCAGATGCAGGGCTCGATCCCAGGTCCCCATGATCATGACCTGAGCCAAAATCAAGAGTCAGAGGCCTAACCAACTGAGCCACCCAGGTGTCCCTCTCAAACTTAAGAGTTTTGAGAGCATGTCAGAAGCAGCTCTCAAATTTTGGACTCATAAGAATCTACTACCTTTCTACAGTTCCCCAACCAATTCTACCACTTGGTCAGTGTTATGGGTTGAAATATGTCCCCCCAAAGAGATATGTTGGAGCCCTAATCCCCAGTACCTCGGAATGTAACCTTTTTTGGAAATGGGGTGTTTATAGAGGTAATCAAGTTAAAAGAAGATCATAATCCAATAATAATGACACTTTTATCTCCAACAAAGAGGAGAAATTTGGACACAGAGACAGACACACCATAGGAAGAATGCCATATGAACATGAAGCAGAGATGGGGTGAGCCTTTGTGAGCCAATGAACAGCAAAGATTGGAAGCAAACCCCCAGAAGCTAGAGAGAGCATAGAACAGATTCTTCCTCCCAGGCTTCAGAAGGACGCAATCTTGCTGACACCTTGATCTTGGACTTCTAGCCTCTGAAACTGTGAGACAACATGTTTCTGTTGTGTAAGTCACCCAGTTTTGTGATACTTTGTTACAGCTGCCCTAGCAAACGAATATAGGCAGAATTAGTCCACAGATGGGAGAGTTTGCCCGCTGATTCCAACGTGAACTCTACCTCATTTTCCTGGTTCTGCCTGCTCTAGTTCATCCTATCAGAGCCCATTGTTACCCCACTAAAGATTCTCAGACTTGAGACCTCATCTCCAGATGTTTTGTTTTGGTAACTGTAAGGTGGAGCCTAGGAATCTAATTTTTATTAAGCCCTAGAGGCAATTCTGAGGTATAAGAGTAGGAAGGACTTAACAGACTTTGTGTAGTTGAGTCTCCTTCCTGGCCCCACGGCCTTAGCATATCTGAAAATGGATGGATCCACTTCTGCTGCTGAGCTCAGCCAGGATCCAATGGTCCCAGTGGCAACCAGTGGGATCCTGTGTCCTTGTATTCCTCCTCAGGTGCCCAGGCTCAGGACCAGGCCTAAGCTGGGGGCCTGCTATTCCCTCATTCCCTTGTTAGCCCTCCCCCTGAGAAGAGCCCTGACCCTAAACCCCAGACTGGTGGCTAGGCCACTAAACTCTGAGGACAGATCTCCCAAATGACTGACTGCTCGCTCTCCTGCTTCTTGAGCACCTCCTACCCTCAGTTTCCAACCATGCTCTGGTCATTTTGGAGGAATCATGTACCCAACATGGGAAATACTCTCAGTAACTGCTACATGACTTATGAAGGGCCCTTCCCTACCCTCTAGACACTGGATGTACCAACCTGGCTACATCTCCATAACCAAGCTCAGCAACTCTTTGGATGGCTCAGTGTGCTAGATCTTGTACTATACAGATCCTTCTGGTTTTCATGTTAGGCTTACAATCGAATGAGGGTTACAAAAAGGTACATGGATGCACATTATCTATGAATACAGGGCTCTAAGGGCAAAGAGGTGGAGCACCTGACCAGGGTCTGGAGGGGTTAGAGGTAGGGAAAGCAGCTTGAAGAAGTTTCCATTTAAAACCAAGACCAGGGATGCCTGGGTGGCTCAGTCAGTTAAGCATCTGCCTTTGGCTCAGGTCATGATCCCAAGGTCCTAGGATTGAGCCCTGCGTCGGGCTCTCTGCTCACTGAGGAGCCTGCTTCTCCCTCTCCCTCTGCCTGATGAGAGCTTGTGCACTCTCTCTCTGTGTGTCAAATAAATAAATAAAATCTTTTAAAAAAATTAAAAAAAATAAAACCAAGACCAAATAAATAAATAAAATTTTATATAATATACCTATATATTATTAATTTTATGTTATGTATAATATTGATATTATTATATAATAACACACAATGCTAATATATAAATGTACAAAAACAGATTATTAACATATATTAATGTAATGTTAAGAATATAATACATTTTCAATATATTATTTATTATAATTAATAATTATTAATGTTAATGGGTTTGGGAAGAGGGAGAGATCTTCAGGCTCAAGAGCCAGAGAGAGCATGATGGTTTCTGGTAAGAGCAAGTAGCTGGAGGCATGGGCAGAAGGCAAGGGTTTCCCAGCCCCATGGTGTCCCGTAGGAGATCTTTTCTGGAAGAGAGGTAAAACCGACGGATCACTCACGTCAGTCATATTTGAGAACACGTCCCCTGTCCAGCAAAGCATCCCAACACCTGCATGAGGGGAAAGTGGGTGGATGCACTTGAACTGACCCTCAGCCCTCATTCAGTCTCTGACTCTCCTCTTGTCAGCTCTCTTCATCTTCTCGATTTAATTTCTCTTCCACGCGACTCAACAGCCTCAAAAGCCACAAAAATAATCTGTTATTGTTATAGGCTGCAGTTTTTTTCAGACTTTAGCAGACAGCCTCTTCAACCTGATGTAGCTAAAATCTTAGGGATAGCCACCTTGGCCACAACCCTGCACCACCTTTCCCCCATCCCTAACCATTCAGGATGGTCCTTACAGGCAGCCGGCAAGGAAATGAATTCCTGCTTGGAATTAAATAACAAGAAGTTTCTAGCAATCTAGATTTGACACTCACCACTCAAGAACTTGAGACACTGGACATAAGACTGGTCATGAAAGACCCTCCCCCAGTCCCAGGTATTTGAACTTGCCTGTGATATGTCTTAACCGGGACAGCTTGGGACAGATGCTCTCTTGAACTGCGTGTTATACCTTCCCATTTAAAGGACTATTGATCAGCACAACATGGCAGCTAATATGGAAAGCGAATGGTAAAAAGGAAAGGCAAGCATTTCCTCACTAAACGAAAGAAGAGATCTGAATCTGAGGAGCCCAATCTGGCACTGTTTGAAAGTAAATTACCAGCCGATTAGATGGCTGTAAATACAGGGAGAGAAGGCTCAACAGGCAGCTGGATTGCGTAAGGAAGAGGGAAATTAGAGAGCGCACGGGAGGTGCTGAGCACAGACAGGGCTCGGCAAAGAGGAACAGTGGCAGCTCTGTACCGCCAAGATTATAGAAGCAGGAAGGGACCTGTAGGAAGTGTTCTGTAGATGGAGCCGGCGTGAAAGTGTAGCCCCCCCACCTCCCACTCCAATCCCCTCAGTCCCACATCCCTAATGAGCCCGAAGGACGGATGTTTGTTATTGCAACACAGGAAGTATCAATGACTTCTGTTCAGTGAGGAAAACCTGTTTTAGGTTATGTGCAATCTGGAAGCTTCTCACTTCCTACCATAAAAGCCACTCTCATAAAAACCACTCACATCCCTGCAGTCTACAGAGACGGAGTCCACGCAGATGTCAATGAGAGATACCATCCCCCAAAGAGCAGCTGGGCCTGTTTCTGCAGACAGCAAGCACTGAAAGAAGCGAGCCCCTACAGAGCTCTGCAATTAGTAGAAGGAGCTTGCCACAAGGAAGGATGGAGTAGTGTAACTAGGAAACTAGGGCTCTCCTGTGCATACCAAAAAAGATCCCCTCTTCCTCTGGCAAATCTCGGGAGAAAGTCGGGCCAGCCTGGGAGGAGGTAATTGGGGCAGAAATGGTGGGGGAGAAGGAGGATGGCTGTAATTTTTGCATTAGTGATGGAAGTGAGTTTAGCAAAGGACAGACAGTGGATGCCTTAGTCACATGAGTATTACTGTTTCCATAGCCCTGAGCCCTCCCTACAAGCTTCTCTAAGCCCTAAGCGAGGCAGCTGTGTGCTCTCATTGTCCAAGGGGAGAATACAGACAGAATATATAGCTTCTGGGTTAGCTCAGCACCCTCATTTTCTTGGGGTTCCAGCCCACAGGCCCTGGAGATGCTCTCACAGGAAGGAATGCCTGGGGGACATGGGACCAGATGACCACATCAGTTACAGTTTACGTTTAGAAGGAACCATTCCAGTGTCACATGGCAGAAGACGTAAGAGGATGGGTAAGTAATACAGAAAGAAAACTGGGGGGAGGCGTTGAGAAAGAGGTTATTGAGCTTTGGTAAAGTCATTTCTTTAGCCAGATCCGACTAAGGGTGTCACTAATTCCCTAAGATCAGACATTTGAACTGACAACACACTGGATACTTCTTGAAGCTTCTTGTGTGGCTACCACATTTGGATGTTACTGATACAATTAACTGTTTAGATAACTGGATACAGTTCTCATTCCACATGGGGAGTTAGTCATTCTCCACACATCTTTCGATTACCTCTATATAGTTCAGAATTAAAGAACATCTTAAAGCACTGGGGGTGCTTTAAGAAAACTGTCACTGTCAAAATTAAGGTGTTTTTTTTTTAAAGATTTTATTTATTTATTTATTTGACAGAGAGAGACACAGCGAGAGAGGGAACACAAGCAGGGGGAGTGGGAGAGGGAGAAGCAGGCTCCCAGAGGAGCAGGGAGCCCGATACGGGGCTCGAACCCAGGACCCTGGGATCATGACCTGGGCTGAGAGCAGATGCTTAACGACTGAGCCACCAGGCGCCCCAAGATTATGTTGTTCTGAGGGCAGATTCCGGGTATGTAGTCCCTTTCATCAAATGTGTCCTTGCCGCTCTCTGGATGTCACAAAGGCCGGGATGCTGCAGATCACTAAAGGGACACACAGAGCTTACACTGGCCAAGGAAAAAATCAGAGATTCTTTGAACTAGTTTGGGGCCAACTTTGAGATGAGGACAGAAATGCAACTGGGTTCACTTCATCTGGTGTTAACATGAACGTTAACATGCCAAATATCTGAGTCACTGACTAAAAATAAGAACAGATTGGAGAACTAAATGGTGTAACTGGGAGGAAGAGTGATGCTGAAGAAAAGGAGTTCCTCATGTTGACAGCTGCTTCCCTAATGGACAAGGAGTATGAAGAACAGACACTGCAGAGTGTGAGGGTTTCTTGTTTTGGTTTTTTAGTTTTTTAAAGATTTATTTATCTATTTGAGTGTGAGAGAGAAAGAAGGCATGAGCAGGGGGAGGAGCAAAGAGAGAGAGAGAGAGAGAAGCAGACTCCCTACTGAGCATGGAGCCTGACGGGGGAGCTCAACGAGGGGCTCAATCTCGTGACCCTGAGATCATGACCTGAACTGAAATCAGGAGTTGGACGCTTAGCTGACTGCACCCCCCAGACCCCCCTCGGAGTGTGAGGTTTTAAAAGACCTTCGACAAAATCCATCTTCTTGCACCACCACATCTCCCCCCGCCGGAACAATTCCCTCAAGTTCATTCAATTCTCTGTCTATGACAAAGTCGAGGTGAGGATCGAGGGAATGAAGTAAACATTTGGTTCTCACAGACTCAAGAAGTACAACCTCCTTCTCTTCAGGCATCTCTGTTCTGTTTTCTCAAGACAGCAGGGGAATCCCAAGAAGCTACAGTGTGCCCTAAAGGAGCCAATTGAAAGCATTGAGTCTACTTAGTTTCCAGGAGTCTAGGTTGGAACAAAGTTTATTAGTGAACCTTGCAGCAACTCTAGCTGCCCAATTTTTCCACATAGTTTCTTCTCTGCAGCTAGAAAGTATAAGTAAAAGTATATCTCAGGCAAGAAACGTTTAACAAGGTAAGATTTTAGAACTGCTTTGGTTAAACCTTGCTCTCCAAAAATTCTGCTGCAAGAAAAAAAAAATACAGTCCTTTCCTAAAACTGATCAGTATTCACATAATTCCCATCAAAATCTGAACAAGTTTCTTTGCTGGCCTTGACAAGTTTATTCCAAAATGTATATGGAAAGGAAAAGGCTCTAGCACAGCCAAAACAATGTTGAAAAACAAAGTAGGAGAGGAAGAGGGAGAAACCACTCTTCCCAACAGTAGGGCCTCGTGTGTAACTACAGTATTAAGACAGCATGGTACTGGTAGAGGGAAGAGGCACATAGATCAGTGGAACCGAATAAAGAACCGAGATCTAGAGCCACACAAATATGCCCCCGACTAATTTTGATAAGGGAATAACAGCAATCCAACGGAGGAGAAATAGCCTTTTCAATAAATGGTGCTGGAAAAATTGGACCCTCAGAGTGTGAGGTTTTAAAAGACCTAATGAAAATTAATATGAAGAAAAGACCTAATACGAAAATTAACTCACAATGGATCATGGACTCACCTGTGAGCATAGAACTCTAAAACTTGTAAAAAAGAACACAGGAGAATATTTTTGGGACCCTAGGGCTAGGCAGAGTTCTTGGACTTGACCCTAAAAGCATGATCCATAATAGGAAAAATTTATAAATTGGACTAAACACTTTTGCTCTATGAAAGACTCTGTAAAAGGATGAAAAGGCAACAGGCCAGGAGGAAAGATTTACAAATCACACAACCAACAAAGGCCTTGTGTCTAGAATATATATAAAAATTCTAGAAACTCAACATTAAAAAAAAAAAAATGTATCCAAGGCACCTTTCAGCACCACGTTTCACAGCATGTATTCTTTTTTTTTTTAATTTTTTAAAAGATTGATTTACTTATTTGGGGGGGGTGGGGGGAGGGCAGAGGGAGAGGGAGAGAATCCCAAGCAGACTCCCCCCAATGAAGGGCTCAATCTCACAACCCTGAGATCATGACCTGAGCTGAAATCAAGAGTCAGACAGTCAACCAACTAAACTGGACCACCTGACTTAGGATCTTGGGGGTGGGGGAGGGGTTGGTAAAATGCAAATTCCTGTGTCTCCAGAAATTCTGATTCCATAGATCTGAGTGGGGCATGGGAAATCTGTCTTTATTTCTTTGTTTGTTATTTATTTATTTTAGCAATTTGCTTTTAAAACAAGCTACTCAGGGTGCCTGGCTAGCTCAGCTGGTAGAGCATGTGAGTCTTGATCTCAGGGTCATGAGTTTGAGCCCCATGTTGAGGGTAGAGTTTACTTTAAAAAAAAAAGAAAGAAAGAAAGAAATCTATTAAAAATTAACAATGAAAAAATTAAACAAGTTCCTCAGGATATTTTTTATTATTATTATTATAATTAAAGTTTGAGAGCTTCCACAACTATTCAATCTAGTGAACTGTGAAGGAAGAGCCACATTAGAAAGGAAATTGGGATGGGGCCACTTGTGCCCTGAAGGGTACTATTTAAAGACTAACAGGGACTATTTAAAGAACAACAACAAACAAGAAGTGTTACGAATAATTTCTAAGGAGCAGCCACTCTCTAGATTTATTAGGATGTAAATGAAATGATGAAATGCCCTCCCCCCCCCCAACTCAAGTATACAACTATAAGGAGAACTTGCCACATATGGAGAGATTTTTAAAAAATTCTCATAGTCATGCTGCTCGAGGGGCCTGGTGTTCACAAAGGGCTTGTGAGACCCCAGGAAAGACCCTGTTCTCTGAGGATAAAGCATGCACTTAAGCAAGTTGGGGGACAATCATGCTCCAGCTGAACCAGTGTCTGTGGGCCTGTGGGGAACCCACAGCCAGGGACCCCAGCTATGAGGGGTGAAGGCCCGCCTCGGGGTTCTCTAACGTCACCTTCTATCACCCTTTCCCACTCACTCACACATACGTATATACACAGGTCTAGAGATTAAAGAGCAGCTCCTTCTCACCAACCCACCAAATAGTCCCTGTTTCTGCCTTCACCGTTTTGCCTCCAACGCGTCACAGGTGGCAAAAGGAGAGCCTAAGGATGAGACAACATGACTGAGTGCAGACCCAGGTCAAAGCCAGGCTCCTCAGAGCAGCTGGGGAGTAAGAGGGCAGTCGCATCTCTGGGAAACGTGCTGGAGGCCAGCCTGACAAAAGGAACAAGAAAGCTGCCAGGGGAAGGTGAGCCAGGTAGCTGTCAACCCATGAAAAATGAAGTGGCCTTTAGGAGGACCAAGGCCGGCCCACAGAGCTGCTGGCCAAGAACGCACGGATCTGAGGGCAGGAATGACCCCTCAGCCTGATCCTAAGACGGCCTTTGCCCTCCAAGGACACTGCTGCGTGGCTTTTCAGACCCCAGTACAACCCAGGTCCCTGAGTTTTCCAGTCTTTGCTCACTTGTGTCTGTTGTATCTCCTCTAGGTCACAGTTGATGGGAGCTGATTGGTGCTGAAGCAGACTCCAGTTCATTTCCGTTCACCTCATTATTTGTTTGAATTCTGGGCTGAAGCCAAGCAACAAACATGAACATTCCCCCTGCGGAGCAGGCGCACACAGACACTTGGAGGCACGCTTACACGTGCCGCACTCTCCCAGGCATGCACACATGTTTACACGAGCGCGCGTCCTCACCCGGACACACTCGCACACAGGCGCTCACCCATGCAGACACTCCCTACTTGCCTACACGCACTCCTGCACACGGGCACACACAGCTGCTCCAGCTGCGGTCAGCTGTGCAAGGTCTCTGCCTTCCGTGACTGGGGCGTCTAGGAGAACTTCAAACCTGAGAGTTCCTCCTCTCGCCCTCCTGTTCCCCTGGCCGCCTGGACACCGACGCTTGCCATCTGTAATCCATCACTACAGGTCTTACGCCCCGTTTCCAGCCATTGTCAATCGAGTGGGAGACCTTCCAACCTTCTGTCTCAATGAAAGTCAACTGTTGTCAACCCAAGCTCCCATGAAGCTCCAGGGACTAGCCTGACTTGGATTTTAAACAGTCCTGCTGCCCGCCCTGCCTGTGAATCAGGCTGGGCTCCAGACGAGGTGGGGAAGCCCTCTAGTGGCCAAGGCTGAAGTGACAATAGGCGTGGAGGGCTCCGGGATGTCGCAGGAACCAGTCCACTCTTCCTGAAACCACAGTCCCTAAAATCTTTACAGCCTAAATCCTCCCTCTCCATCACCCCCAGATCCTTCTAGTCACCAGGTCCTATCAATTTCCCTCCCAAACAGCTGTCCCTGTTGCCCACCCTAGCTCTGCCTTATCACCCATGCGTCGTAGGGCTGCAGTGGACCGTTGCCTGGACCTCTGTGACTGATCCATTACGGACCTCGCTGCCAAATTCATCTCCCAGACCCTCACTGTTGGTCTTCTATGTTCTCTGTTTAAGACTTCCAGACTTCCCCTCTGGTCTCTAGCGGTGATCCTCAAAAGGGAGACACACTGTCTCAGGACAGGTTGAGCAGCATTTCCACACACAGTCTAGAGATGTTGATGTTCCTCCCCACACCATGCTCATGTTGGACCACTTCTATCGAGGTGTCGTTCCTGCCCTATTACTCAAATGTAGAGGGCTGAGGAAAAGATGGAGAACCACAAGTCCTCGGGGCAAAAGTTCAAACATCTCAGCCCCCCACAGCCTGGCCTTAAATTTCTTTTCTAGGTTTAGTGTTACAGTGTAACATCGAGGTTAAGGACTAGAATCAGTCTGGCTTAGAACCCCAGGTGTACAACTTATTAGCTCTGTAATGGTATGGAAGGTTCTAGATCCTTAGTTTCTTTACAGGGTTCTTGAGATGTTAATGAGGTAGCCTGTGTATGAGACTTAGCCCAGTGCTTGCCCCACGGTCAGTGCTCACTTAAGGACAGCTGTAATTAGTACTCCTCTGTCTATAAGCCGACTGGTTCGCGCACAGGTCAGGCATGTCCTTGCACTTTCCATCTCTGCACTTCGGCTCTTGACGCTTTATTTGCCTGGAATGTCCCCTCCCTCCTCTCTAATGTCAAGACCTCACCTGTTCTGCTGTGCCCAGCTCAAATTTCTTCACCTGCTTAGGGACCTGAGCTAATCCTGGACTTACGGACCTCATATATTATCTCTTGTGAGAGGGAACAAATACTTTGTGAGAGTGCACCGTATAAACTTATGCAAGTGTGTAATAGACAAATATGTGGGATATTTAATTGTGCAATCATTCTAAAAAATTAGATAAAGCCTTATAATGTGTTTTCATGTGTTACTAGAATAGTTATTCAAATTGTTTTAATATCTTACTTCTCTGAATAACTAGATTATAAATGCCATGAGGATAAAAGCTCTGTTTTATACTTATATTCTCCATAGAACATATCTTACATGATACTTTCACTATATTAGGTACTTAGTGATCATTTAATTAAGAAGTGACTGCATTTTTTATAGTAGTAGTAACATACGTCCTTGTCCCTTAAAGCAATTTTCCATTCATTATCTTATGAGCTTTGATTATCTAACTTCTACAACATCCCTGAAAGAAAGGCAATCCTAGGCCTATTTCACAGGGAATTTCTTATTGTAAGTCTTGCAAGCAAGCTGTGTTGGTTATATGTGTTACATCACAATAACACAATCTCCAAATGGAAAGGTATCTGGGTCAAAAAGGGCAGGGTGGGTAAATTTTTTAAAGTAATGCCTGTACCATGTTTATTTACAAATCATTTGGAATGTAGCCTATAAATTATATTCTGGAGTCTAAAAACGCTTTCACCGTAAATTGCAAAAATAATTGGTATCCCATGATGAGACACCACTGCACGCCTATTAGAATGGCGAAGATATATGTAAAAGACAAAATTGACAGAGATGCAGAGCAACTGTGCTGGTTGACTTGCACAATGCTATATCTGCTTTAGAAAACAATTTGGTAGTTTCTTAGAGAGTTAAAGAAACATGACCCATATGAACCAGCAAACACATGCCTACGTTTTTACCCTAGAAAATTGCACACTTGTGCTCACACAAAAACCTATACGCTAATGCTTATTTATAGTCGGTAAAGATACAGGACGGATTAGTAGTTTCCAGGAATTATGGGTGGGAGAGGGTTTGGCTACACAGGCGCAGCATAAGAGAATTTGAGGTGGGGGGAAGGGATGAAAATTGTCTACATCCTGATTGTGGTAGTGGTTCCACAAATCTACACATGTTAAAAGGTCATAGAACTATACACCCAAAAAAGTAAAGTTCGCTGTACATAAATATAACAGTAAAACCATATTTCTAAGAAAATTCAGAAGCAAAATTCAGGAAAAAGTGAACGCTGTCAATGAATTCAATATAAAGATATCGATCACCTATTATGTATAAGGCACTGACTGGGGTAGGAGAAAGGGAAACCAGAGCCTAGCGATAAAGCAGTTTTAGGAGCATTAGCTTTGAAATCGGCTACAGCTGAGATTGAACCCCTGGTCTCTTATGAAATGTGGGTTCTTAGGAAGGTTGCCTAACGTCTTTGAGCTTTAGTTTATGAAGATAATAAAACACAGAGTACAGACACAGTAAGAGGTTGAGAAATGCTAACTATTATTACTAGCATAGAATTGTTAATGCTAAAGCTGGTGATGTCAGTAAAAATGATGTCTCTGAGGCGCCTGCTGGCTCAGTCAGTTAAGGTTCAACTCTTGGTTTTGGCTCAGGTCATGATCTCAGGCTTGTGAGGTGAAGCATGTCCTGCGGTGGGCTCCAGGCTCAGCGGGGAGCGTGCTTCCCTCCCTCTCCCTCTCCCTCTGCCCCTCCGCCTGCTTGTGTGTGTGCATGCGTGCTCTCTCTCTCAAATCAATCAGTCAATCTTTTTAAAAAATGATACCCAGAATCTAACCAGTCTCACACTGCCTCTGCCACCGCCCTGATCCAAAAGCCACCATCCCCTCCTGCGATAGCTTACTAACTGTTCTCCCTGCCCCCATCCTGCAGCCTGTACTTAACCCAGCCACCACAATGATCTCTTTAAAATGTAAGTCCGATTATGTCACTCATCTGCTCAAAACACTGTTGTGACTCCCCGTGTCACTCAGCGTAAAGGGAGAAGTCGTCCCCGTGTCTTTGAAGACCCTGCATGCTCTCACACCATTTGCCTCTCTTATATTATCTTCTATTGCTTCCCCCCCCTTCTTCTTTTTTGAAAAGATTTATTTATTTGAGAGAGAGAGGGAGGGAGGGAGAGAAAGTGAGCAGGGGTAGGGACAGAGGGAGAAGGAGAGAGAATCTCGAGCAGACTCCCCGCAGAACGGGCAGAGCCAGACCCGGGGCTCGATCCCACACCTCCGTGATAACATGAACCGAGACCAAGAGTCGGAGGCTCAGCAGACTGAGCCACCCAGGCTCCCCCACTCTTCTTCTTCCACACTGACCTGTTACCCTGATACGGCCTCTGTTAGCAGCCGTGGTACTGGCTCTTTCCTCTGCCTTGAACAGTTGCCACGTGTTTGCACCGCTCACTCCCTTGCCTCCTTTGTGATTGGCTCCAGTGTCACCCTCTCAAAAAGGAAAAAAAGGGGGCGCCTGGGTGGCTCAGTTGGTTGGGCAACTGCCTTCGGCTCAGGTCATGGTCCTGGAGTCCCGGGATCGGGTCCTGCTCAGCAGGGAGGCTGCTTCTCACTCTGGCCCTCCCCCCTCTCATGCTCTCTCTCTCATATAAATAAATGAAATCTTTAAAAAAAAAAAAAAGGAAAAAAAAGCCTATCCTAATTGCTGTATTTGAAAGTTCAGCCTGCTCCGCTTTCCCCGAGCCCTAGCAATCCCCCTTGTCTTGCCCAACTTTTCCTTTTCCATATGTCTTATCACCTTCTCTATAACAAAACCAAACATTGGCAGATGGTTCTCTCATAAATTGCTGGTGGGAGTGTGACTTGATACAACCACTTAGGAAATCTTTTAAAAGATTTCAAAATATTTAAGTATTGAAAATTTAATTAAAGATTTAAAAATCTTTAAATGTAAAGAACATCTACTAAAGCTAAAAATATCCTATGCTGCTTCTGCATGTAAATCCAACGGAAAGGAATGCCAAAAGACACGTATTAAGAATGTTAAAAGCAGTTTTATTCATAATATCTCTGAACTGGAAACAACCCAAATATCCACAGTAGAGTGGGTAAATAAGTTGTAATATTTTCAAGCAATAGAGTAATACACAGCAATAAAAAATGAATGATGATACTCTTAACAGCATGAATGAATCCCAGGCCTAATATCGAGCAAGAGACAAAAGGGAATATTGTATATGATTTATTTGATGTTCAAGAAAGGCAAAGACTTTAATGATAAAATCAAAATAGAGCTACTTATTTCCCTAATGGGGAGGTAATCTAATCTCTCTGAAAATAATGATAATAATATCCATCTTGCAGGCTAACTGCAGGAAATGTATCCTCTAACATGTAGCACCAGATCCTGGCACAGAGTCCCGGCTAACTGAATGATAGTTTGTATTCATGTATGTTCTCCATTTGCAATAGTTTAGTAATTGGCAAGTAAAAGATCAGTTTAGGTTACCTAACACAAAAGTTTCAGTTGTATATATATACCCTTAGTTGCCTCCCAATAGCCATTCCCTTTTTCTTCTTATTAGTAGAATCTATATTTTTGTTCAGAGAAGCCATATACCCAGCCCAGAACAATGAAGCATGACTAAGCCGACCATGGAACTCCCATGCTCCTTTGCCAGACCCACTTTCCCAATCCCCCCTTATACCCAGTGATGCCCATGTGCTCAGTTTGGGCCAATGAGACCTAAAGAGGAATTCTGATGGGAAACTGTTTAGAAAAGATTTGTCCACCTTGCTAAAAGGAAAGGTACACATTCTCTCACTGCCCCTCTCCCCCCGTTTTCTCCTTTTGGATGGATGATATACGGAGCTATGGCAACTGCCTTTTGATCATGAAAATCAGAGAGAAAATGACAAACTTATCAGAATTAGCAAATCACCAACCTTCAAAGTTTTTGTTCTAAGAATTAATTATCTTTATTATTTAAGCTCTATTATTTAAGCCATTGTTAGTTGTGTATTCTGTTACTTTCAGCTGAAATCATTCCTGGGACTATTCCCTTATAGAAAAACAAGTGTGCAAAAGAGAATGCTTACGCCAATGATTAGGACACCTTACCATGTTCTCTTTAATTTGCCCAATGTCAGAGCACAGCCCACTCCTTTCATGGTCCTTCCACGAGTCTCTTCCTTGCCACTTTACTAAAATGCCTTCACTTTCTAAGGCAAACACCTTTCAGTGGCATGTGAACACACTAATGAGGTCAGTAACTTTCCTTAGGCATTGAGGCTAAGGAATGAAACTTAAAACAGGAAAATTCTATTCGATTGCTGAATTTGTTGAAGGGTAGCCAACTGCTAAATGCTGGTGGGAGCACATACTAACCTGCATTTGCCCACAAGCACCCCAGTGCACCAATGCTGTAAATATAAATGTACTGTGAATAGGTGGCTCATTCAGGACTCATTCCTGTGTGGCAGGGCAGATTTATCTTGAAGTTAATGACATTCCATGGCCCTCGTGTGCCCACACCTCTTTCCAGGCCCTGTTTGGGGCCCAAGCAATGTGTTCACGTGGTAATACGCTTTTGTAAAACTTGGAAGTATGTTACCCACAATCAGATAAGACCTCTGTCTCTGTCCTCTCCAACTCACCCTCTCTTGCACTTGCCCTGCTGTAGGGTGGTGTTAGAGAGACCATGGGCTGTTTGGGATTCAGCTAAAGGGAAGTTGAGTTGAAGATCCATAGAGTTTGGGTTACGAAGGTTGTATTTATGTGGTTTACTTTCACATCTGGTTAAGTTATTGCTAGCTATTCTGGTGCAGGAATGGCTTCTGGCATTATTCCTGCTGCCCACTTTGGCAATGGCAGGGGTCACACTGCAATATGAACATGACCTATTGCACTGGGCATTGAAAGTATATGGGGATTGAAGAAGAAACAAGTTTCCAAAATAATGAAGCAAGAAGCTAGTCTGTGAAAAATTCTGCCAGTCTTCAGATATGTACAGTTATAAGGATTTGATTCTCACACATGCCCAGTCAAAACAAAAGTTCTGTCCTGCCAGGAATCTACTCAATAAGCTCTGTATACAGTTATAAGCCCACAATATTCTTTTATGTAAATCACACAAAATAGAACTTACCAGAATTCCTGTGCTTGTGGGGCACAAAGCAACACCAGTTCTATGCTGACTATGTTTGTTTAATCATGTATTTTAAAAATCCAATATATTAGGGGTGCCTGGCTGGCTTAGTTG